AGAGATAAAGGGATGCACATGCGGTCGCCGGGGGCGCTACTGGTACGTTTTTGACTTCGTGAGAAACGAAGCGGGCTCGGCGGGTGGGCGGGCGAAATCAATCGTGACTCGAACGCACCTTTTTCTTCGACCAGACACATTTATCCTGAGGAAGATATCTAGCGACCGACATGATCAGCTGCCGGCAGGCCTCCTCAACGTGCAACCCCCGGAGGGCAGAAGTCTGCTCGCACGCAAATGCGCCCCAAAAAAAATAAGGCAGAGACAAACAAGTTGTTGGTGGACAAACAAAGATTGTTATCTTCACCAGAGTGCAACCAGCGCAGGACACACAAAAACACCTTGTTTCGCCGCAACTGTAAACGACATCTGCAAAGCACGGCGGGAGACGCCACAACCAACCGCGTTAGTTAGTACCTGCCCCCCTGAAGGCACAGCAGGCACTATAACATCCAAAACAATTGCTTCTTCAAGAAGGGTGTGGCAGACAACGCACAGACAGTATCTATTTTCTGTGGTACATACAGCAGCGAGGGTGCGTGCCAGCGATATGCACATCGCCTACGCTGCAGCTTTGGACGCAAGAGATGATTACGTGAGGGTTGTTCAGGCACGTGTGACGTGATTCCCGCCCCCTAAGCCGCACGTGCCAAGGTTGCCTCTGCCTACTGTTCCCAAGAGTAGTGTACCGATGAACTATTGCATTCATACGGAATGCGGCACACAAGATACCATACCCCATTGGCCGATTTCTAAAGGTCGGTTACAGCAACGAGTGGCGCCGCTGGCGTTGAAACCGTCTCGTCGACAGCGTTCCGAAAGCCCAGCATCTGATCTTGGCAACTTCTTTTATCGTGGAGCAATCGGAGCAATCTATCACGGACTTTATCTGTGGATGGATCTGTTGTACATTGTAGTGTCTTTATTTTTTCGTAGTATGACAAAACGAATCCATCTCTATCTGTGGAAAAGAGTCTACGACATTTTTGGAGAAAAAAAAATCGGTCCAGGGGGGGGGTGATATCCTACGCAACCTTACGGTATTACAGTATTACAGCAGTTGCTGACGAGTCAGCGACAGCGCCACTCACCTCCACAAAGTCCATCCCGTGCTTCCGGGCGAACCGCATGCCCTCCACCATCGACACCTCTCGCTGCGTGGTCGACATGTCTGACTTGTTGCCCACCAGAATAAGGGCTGTGCCGCGCCGGATAAGTAAACAGCGATGACGAAGAAGCAAAAAGTTTTCTCAACACATACTCCGGAGTACAAAGAAATGTGCCGAGAGGAATGGCGCCCTATGGAGTCTTTATCCAATGGGCGGTCACCTGCGCAATACCTAATTATGACATGTTTCTCTTGCGATTGTACAGACCAAGACAAGACGCCGAACTGAGTCTGAGTTACTCTTAGCAGGATCCAGGGCACCCTCCGTGCGACTCGCCGAATATCTCACGGCGCTTCGCGCTTTTGGTGATGTGCTAGCCTGTGGCGGTGAAAACCCGGCGTGCTCCGTCCCGGCTTTCAAGGGATGCGAGGTCAACGGTCCAACGACTGCTGTATAATGTACACGGCTATTGAGTACAACCCCCACCAAAGCGGGAACTCACCGACGCTTTTGTGAGAGTTCTCTCGTACGAGGGAGAGCCACCGCGCGAGGTCGTCGAAGGTGCTTCTTTTAGAGATGTCGTACACCAGCATCACCCCCACTGTGCCTCCAAAAAACGCGTCCTTCACGGACTTGAAAGCGAACGTGCCCGCCGTATCCCAGATCTAAGAACGAGGAGACGGGAAGCAGCAAACATGCGGCCATCGGACCGAAGGAGAGAAAAAATAAGTAAAACCCGACCGAAACCTACCAGGTATGAGAGATGGTGGTAACCCGTCCCGTGTGAAGTTTAAGTTATCTGTGACA